TGGCTGGGTGCCGCAACACAACCCTCATGGCCTCTTGGTTTGCACGGGAGTAATCCTCTGCCAAGAATTTATGATCTGCAACAGGAAGGCAAGTATTAGATCGGCAGTGAAAAGACCAATTTCAAAAAAAAAAAAAATACATGCCAAGATGCTCACCAGTACTCCTAAAATCTTTCCTATGTACCAGCCCGGTATGGGTGCTTCCGTGTCCTAATAATTACCGGACACCCACAAGAAATCATCATCGTTGGTCTCTTTGTCCGGGTTACCCTCGATGGGTTTTGCTCGGCCTTTCCTGACCTTGAGATACCAGCAAAACCCTACTTTATTTTTTCTTAGTGTATATTGATGAAATATCTCGGCGAGGCCGAGATTCAGACCGAGTATCCTATTCAGCACGGCCATGTCGTTTATTATTTTGTATGTATTGTTGGAGACTTGGGTCGGGCACAACTTACTCTACCTCAAAATCTTGCAAATCAGGGGTTGGACCGAGAAACGCAGGCCTCCTTCCACAATGGACACCACCGTGAAGGGGGCATTTGTCCAGCTCGCCCCAGGGAGTGTCTCCTTTCTTGGCCAGCTCCAAATGGACATCGTCCGGGATATGGTACTCTCTACGGAACTCGGCCAACGCCCCAGGAGAATTGACCATGAACCGGTACTTCCCCATCTATCCCAGTTTTATTCAGTTGGGTAATTTTGGTTGTATCTTGGTAAAAATTTGGTGATTGTTTGCTCGGACTTTGAGCCTCACCGATTGTAATGCTGAATGGGCCTGGTCGGTCCTAGTTTGTTCTGCATTATTAAGAAATAAGCCCAAGTATTACAGCGGCATAAATTGCACGGTTATTATGAAGAAGTTTCTAGCTCGGTAAACGGTCCTGGGGCGTTTGACCAGTTCGATTATCCTATTTCGGTTCAACTATCTGGCCGATTTGGCCTTCCTAGATCGGTTCTAGCTCCTTATTTTTAGCTCTGTCTTAGCCTCAGGAAGAGACTACAAACCAATTTTTGCTCGGCTAACATCTTGTTTACGAATCTAAAAGTTGGATTCTGCTCGGTCTTACCCAGGGTTCATGCTATTCATCCTAAATGTGAAGTTTGTGCATTGAAACTAAGGGAAACGAGGGGCACGGAGGCCCCATCCGCTTCTTCAATTCCAGTTTTCCCTAATGTGTACCAGTTTTACCCCAAATAGGGGGGGGCACGAGTAGGATACCAACAGTCCTAGATAAGAACTTGAAGAACAAAAATGGAGAGTGCAAAGGAAGGGCAGATAAGCTTACTAATATGGACGCCAAGCGAAGACCAATCGACCACGACCTTGTCTGCAGCCTTTGTGAGGGCGAAGATGGCTGAAAACAACTCAAAGAGCAGCGGTGGCAGAAGATTGGCGATTTAAGGGCTAGGGTTTGGCTTAAATGGAAGATGAATAGTAGAGGCGTGTGTGGCCTCTCACGTGTGTATAAAAAAAGGGGGGGGGGAGAAGCCAAAGGGCGGCAGCCTTTTGAATTTTGCGTGTGAGTGAGACAGTTGTGGGGCTACACAGGACTAATGGCGTGAAGCCACGTGGCATCGAAAAGATGGCTTGTCAGTACGGCTGGATGATCGATGGCAAGACTACTGGTGCAATCCCCGATGACTGACCAATTCGGACAGCTCGGTCAGAACAATAATCCCAAATCACGCTTTGCTCAGATGGGATTAAGGGGAAATTGAGAGGGAGATTTGCGCCAGTTAATATGGCCAAGCTACGACAGCGCGGGATATCGTGATGGACCCTACGAGGACCAAACCGTGTTTGATCGAACTAAATCGACACGGCCCCTGGCCCATCACGCGTGGCCGAGCAATATCGCCGACCACAGTGCAGAGGCATGTGTATACCCAACCGAGCTATGACTCGGCCTGATATTCGGTTGGATCCGCAGTGATGCGTTGGGACCGAGCTGAGTACATACCAGAATGAATTTGGGCTGAGATGAAAGACCGTACACCTCACGGCCAGTAAGTTCGATTGAACCGACTTATTATAGTTCGGCCATCTCAGTCATGGTGGTGTTTCTTCCCCAAGGGATAGGTCGGTCGTGACAGCCTGGTTGTGTGCCACCTGGACCAATAATGTGATGAAGGGGAAATCCACTCCTAGTACGCGTCAATACTGTTTGGTGGTTCCTCAAACACTGTTTGGAGGTTTTGGTCTCTACACGTGTAAGGAAAGTAAAGAGGGGCACAACCACCTGTCCAGGGAAGGACAACAGAGGTAGTGTGCCCACAATCCCAGAGGCTACATGGCCAGCCTAAAAAAAGTGAGGATGAAGGAACGTTGAGGGTAAGCAATCAGAGAAATTACCAATTTCCTCTCTCTAAAGGGCTCTTTTTCCATTATTCTTGGTCTTCAAGTGTGCTGACTTGATCGTCGGACGGTCTATCCGGCAGCACATCGCCGGGCAGCTTACCGTTTTTCTGTTTTCAGGTCAAGCGACGTTACGTAAAGCTCGAGTTCAAGGAGTACGGAGAACATAGGATATTTCACCCTCGTACAATATGTATGTATGTATGTATATGTGTAAGTATAGAGAGAGAGAAGAACAAAGGCCAGAGAGAAACTGGCCTGGACGAGGGACAAAAATCGGAGAGGAAGAAGATACCGGACGAAGATGTTGGATGGTGCAGTAACTTGAAGACGTCGGGCGGTGGAGAAGAGGGACATCGGAGGATAGATCTGCAAATGCTTTTAGAGCGAGTGAGGGAAGATGGAGAGGGGGAAGAAGAGGGCGACGAAGACAGCGAATGAACACTGGACGGTGGAGGAGAGGGACGACGGAGGAAGCCCCCAGAGCTGGAATAGAGTTGAAATTGGAACACCAATTTCTTCTTCTTCTGTTTTACATTTTGAGCGGGATTTTTTTTTTTACCACAGTACGTGAAACATATGCACTGTAATATGAAGGTTGTGGTTTTAATCCCTCGTTGGTTGCCACGTATTTACCATTAGAGCATTTGCAATAGACTCCTTAAATCATTCACGTACCTATTTTAAGGGGTTGAAACCACCCCATTAGCTCCCTTATAAGTCATCCTAAACTAATATTTGTTACAGTGACTCCTTATTTATAGGGAGTCATTATAGCTCCCTTATATCTGACAGTGTTCATCCACCCGGATGTCCCAGATGAGTGATTTGGACAAAACTTGTTTCGCTGGTCGTCCACTCGAACATTCAGCCGGTCGACCTCCCAGACATCTGGCCGATTGATCACTCCTTAGTTTTTATCCATGGAATTCACTCTTCTAGAGACCTGAATTCTCTCTATATCTCTCTCAATCTCTATTTCTATTTCTGTTGCAAGAAAGAATAAAAGAAAAAAAAAAATGAGTAGCTTGGTGGTGAGACTTTGGCCATGTTTGGTTTGTATTTGGGAGATGAGTTTTAGAAAAAAAATTAAAAAAAATTGTTTGGTTTGAGTTTTTCTCAAAAAATTTCTAAAATCACTTTCTCTCTCTTACACATCAATCACTCACTTTTTCTCTCTCCTGTCTCATTCTCAATCACTTTTTCTTTCACATACATCTACTCAAATTCTCCCAAAATATCAAATCATCCCAAACTCTCAAAAAAATAACTCTTCCAAAATATATAACCAAACAAATCAAAAAAATTTCTAAACTCTCTCTCTAATTTTTTTTTTCAAAAATAACTCTCCTAAAAGCAAACCAAACAATGTTAGGTCTGAAAAAAGACCCACTTACAGCCCGATGATTTGAACGACGGGGCTTATTTTTGTTGCGCGAAAAATTTGGGCCTCATCGCAAGAAATAAATGAAAAAGTGAAAGAATAGAGAAATAATTAGTGTGTTTGGTTTGAATTTTTTGGATTAAATTTTTTAAAAATTAAATTTTTTATTTTTTGTAATTTTTATTTTTAATAAATATTTTTAAAATTTTAAGTATTTTTATTTTTATTTTTTTAGATATACTTTAATTAGATAAATCGAAAAAATAAAATATTTGTGAAAATTTATTTTAAAAAATTAACAAATATATAAAAATATGAAAAATATGTTAATTTTTTGTATTTTTTTCGTATTTATTGAATTTTTAAAAGATTTTTTTACAAAAAATATATTTTTTATATGTATTTATGTTAAGTGTGTTTAAAAATTAAAAAAATTATTTAAAATATTAAAAAAATTTAGTGAAATTAAAAAAGTATGAAAAATAAGAAAGTAAAATTTTTTAAAATTTATTTTTTAAAAAACAAAATCAAACAAGTTAAATATTTTCGAAAAAAAATAATAAATTTGTTTGGAAAAATGGATAAAAAATTAATTATTAAAATAAAAAATAATTTTTTTAATACTATTTTAAGATAAAATATAAATGAGCTGATGGGAATGTTAATCTGAATCCGAACTGTTTTCGCTGAATTTCTGTCTGTAAACTTCCTTTTTCACTCTTTTTCTAGTCATTTCAACTCTCCTCTGCCCCAAAGCAGCCCCTCCCTCCAATGAGCCTAGTAGTAAGTAGGTCACAGTCGCCGCCTATACGGAAGTCCTTTGCTTTTTCCTTTCAGCCATCTCAATAGATTGGTTTGGAATGTTTTAAAAAAAGCGCAGTGATTGAGGGTCCGACGTTTCGGGACTCGAATGCCCCGAAATTCCGTTTAAGGTTTAGGTAAAAAAAAAAGAAAAAAAAAAGGAAAAAAGAAAGAAAAAAAAAAACAGTTTCCAAAATTAGAAATTAGGGGCATTAGGGGCAAATTTTTTAGGGCCACCAATCATTTTTGTTAAAAAAATATATTTTTTGATTCATTAATTTATATGAGTTGAATTTAATATGATGTGGGTTGAATTTAATATGATATTTTAAAAAAATAATATAATTTAAAATAAGATAATATGATTTAAATAAAATATTAATTTTTTAATTTTTTATATTATTTAATGTACCCAAACCAAGCATAAATATCCTCGTCTCGTCTGACATAGAAACCATACATACCTACAAGAAAAAAAAGTGTCCACGCAGAACATCACATAACGTTACCTACTAAACTGTCCTTTTATCTGGTCAAACACAACCTCTGTTTCCTGTATTCAATTCCTTCATTTTTGGCCTTCCTTTCCTTCGTATTCAACGCAAAATCTTTTGATTCTTGTTCTTTATTCCTAAGTTCATGAACTACCCATAAAAAAATATGAGGACTCAAAACCAAAACATAGCAAGTTGGGTCATCCGTTTTCTTATTGATTAAAATCAATCTTCTTCAAACCCATTTCTCAATCAATCTCCAACATGGAAGACAAAGACCCAGATTTTTCTTCCCCCAAACTCCCCACAACCACACAGGTATAACAATATTCACTTGACCCTTAATTCTATTTAAAATGCATTTTATTATTTTTTTTTCAGTGAATCAGGCGTAAAAACAGAGCTTGATTAATAACCCATTTCTAAAGTGCTCTGTTTCTTGTCTGTGAATAGGTTGTGGAAGAGCTGAAAGAGCTATGGAGTTTGGCTTTGCCAATAACAGCAATGAACTGTTTGGTGTACGTTCGAGCGGTGGTCTCAGTCCTCTTCTTAGGAAGGCTCGGAAGCTTAGAGCTAGCCGGTGGGGCGCTCTCCATAGGCTTCACAAACATCACCGGCTACTCCGTTTTAAACGGTCTCTCCTCTGGTCTAGAACCAGTGTGTAGCCAAGCCTACGGTAGCAAAAACTGGGACCTACTCTCAGTCTCTCTCCACCGCATGATCTTGATCCTGGTAATGGCAACAATACCCATATCCATCTTATGGATAAACATAGAGAACATCATGGTGTTGATGGGTCAAGACAGAGAGATCACATCAATGGCGGCGACGTACTGTATATATTCCCTACCGGACCTGTTAACGAACACGCTGTTACAGCCGATGAGGGTTTATCTAAGGTCACAGGGGGTGACGAAGCCGATGATGTACTGTAGCCTGGTGGCGGTGATGTTCCACGTGCCGTTGAATTACGTGGCGGTGGTGGTGCTGGGAATGGGGGTGAGGGGGGTGGCGATTGCTTCGGTGATGACGAACCTGCAGATGGTGGTGCTGATGGGGGGGTACGTGTACGGGTACGGGAGAGTGGAGGTGTGGAGATGGAAGGTGGGGATTGGAGGAATGTGGGGTGGGGTGGGTCCGCTGTTGGGTTTGGCTTTGCCGAGTTGTGTAGGGATATGTTTGGAGTGGTGGTGGTATGAGATAGTGACGGTGCTTGCTGGGTATTTGGAGACTCCCAGACACACAGTGGCAGCCACCGGGATTCTTATTCAGACTACCAGCTTCATGTATACTCTTCCCATGGCCTTGGCTGGCTGTGTTTCTGCCCGAGTAAGCTCATTTCCTTCCGTTCCACCTTTACTTGTATACATATATCTATATCTAGAGCAAGGATCTGTGTCCTAAAAAATTCCTGTCTCGCTGTCTCAAATCACTAATAATCATTGAATCATTTGAGAAACTCAAAACATATCTAATAGTTATGAGCGATTTGGGAAACTAGTACAGGAATTTTTGGAACCGGTATCCTTGGGCCTATATCTAACACCATCTGAAATTTTTTTTTTTATTAAATTTGAGTTAAAAATTGATGAAAATTTTGATTTGGGACCGTTCACTCCAATACTAAAATTAAAATTTTCATTAAATTTTTTTCACATTGTCTTGTCGTTTGGTTGACATCCGGTTAACAATTTAAATTTGGTGAAGATCAACACTACTATTTCATGAAATATCTACCTTCTTTTATTTGATATCACTTTGACGAAAATGTACGAGCTCATTTTTAAGATTTTTTCATCAAATTTAAATTTGACAATAGATTTGAGTAAAAGTTGAAGATCGTCTAATTATATAAATATGAGAGCATTCACCTTTTGTTCTAATTTTCTGAGGCCTGGTTTGGAAAGAGGTCATTTTAGTAATTTTTTATCTTTTTGGTTAAAATATGAGGTATAAAATTAGTATATTTGGAATGATTTTTTAATTTTTTATGAAAATATATAAAAAAAAATAAAGAAAAAAGAGAATGCTTTTGATATAAGTTATAGGTTTGTTTGATTTTTTTTAAACTAACTTTTTGACTTTTAAGCTAAAATTATAACATGCCAACCGAGATCTGAGTTGAATTTTTTAGAAATTAAATTTTTTGTTTTTTGCATTTTTTATTTGTTTTTAGTAAATTTTTTTTTATATTTTAAGCAAAATTTTTACTTTTTAAATATACTTAAGCTTGGTTTGAGAACATGTTATTTTAGTAATTTTTGGTTTTTTAGCTAAAATATAGTTAAAAAAAATTAATATGTTTGAAATAATTTTTTAATTTTTTACGAAAGGATGTGTAAAAAATAAAAAAAAAGAAATTTGTGATTTTTTGGTATAGGCTATGCGCTTTTTAGTTTTTTTAATAATTTTTTTGATTTTTAGATTAAAACTGTTGTATGCCAAACGAGACCTTAATATAAATATAATTAAAAAGTAGAAAAAATTAGTGAAATATTTTTCTTTAATTTTGTGTAGTAGGAGATGTTTAAGATTTTTTTTTTATTACCAAAAGTCTTGCGATAAAATTTTTTTTGTAAAAATTAAAATTTCTCTATGTTGGGGGCCAAAATTTATCAGAGTCGGACACAAATTTCTTTGAGTCAAATTTTTGCCGCAAAAATATTGAGGGATCAGAATTACTATGAAAGTATTGTATGTCCTTTATTTTATAAAATCTTATTATCAAGAATTTTAAAAAAAAATTCCTAAAAAATATAACATTTGTGAATTAAAAAAAATAAAATCACCCAATATCAAAACTGTAAAAAAAGTATAAAAATTTAGTATATTTTTATATTCCTGTGTATTTATTTATTTTTTAAAATATTTTTTTACACCTTTTCCTTTTGAAAGTATATCTAGCTTAAGTGCATTTAAAACATAAAAAAATTTGTTTAAATATTAAAAACAATCACTAAAAATAAAAAAAATACAAAAAATCAAAACTCAATTTTCAAAAAATTAAATTTAGAAAATTTTAGAACCAAATAAAGTGCTTGCTATTAAGTCCAAAAAAATAGACATACTTTTCAAGTTCTGGCAATCATTTAGGATATTTAAGACAATATTTTCTCACATATTTTTCTTAATTTCATACTTTTTTTAATCATTAATCATATCAATTACACAAACAAATTGCATTTTCATCAAAATTATTAAATAATTTCAAAATACTGTATAACATTCCCAATCATTGAAAGTACATGTGACAATACTATACGATATTTCCTGTTTGAATTATTTTTTATATTTTTCAATTCTTTTTAATAAAAAATCAAAAAATCAACTGAAATGGAGCCGAGCCAGTTCCCAAACACCTTTATGAGAATATTTTCACTGGGATTTGGCTTTTCTTGAGTGAAGGTGGAGTTGGGGTATGAACCTATCATCGATTCGGTTTTGACATATGAACTGTTTATTTGATGGTTAATTACATCAACACGCCTTTGATTAGTTGGGAGTATCATTTTACCTCCTTATATTTTGATCATGAGTACAAATAAACCCTCTAAAAGGGTCTAAAAGGTTGAATAGATTCATACTTCCTTTTGTTTTTTGAATGAGAATAGATTCATACTTGAAAGGGCAAAATGTACAGATTCATATGTGAGGGAAGTAAAGTGGTATTTACTAAAAGGGTTTTTGGTGTAATTAATCATTTATTTGATTCCATAGTTGTATGATTTTATTATATTTATTTATTTAAATTAAATAGATAAACACAATTTTAAAAATAATCTATTATTTTTTAACATAAATAACCTTGGGTCCATAAATATTCAAATGATGCAAGCAATTACACTATGTAACGGTTGAAATTACCTGAAGTGGCCCAGTGTTTTTTTATTTTATTTTTTCCTCTGTCGCCAAACACTGAGTTTACTATTAGAGTAAGGCAATTGTATTTTGAATAGCCAAACACAGTTTATAATTAGATTAAAACAATTGTATTTTGAATAATGTTATGGAAAATGTTATACTTGAGCAGATTTTTTTATGAGATTTTGTTATTGTTAGAAAGAAATATGGTTGGGCTATATTATTAAATACACACCAAACTTAATTGTGTTTTTGTTTGGTGATAAAAAATTTGTTTATATGTAATATTTGGGAGATCATCTCCCATCCATATGAGAGGGTGCTAGTCAATGGGGCTCGCCACAATCTAATTGGTTCGTTTTGTATAGTCTTATGCGTGAATCATTTTTGAAAAAAGAAAATCGAATTGATCCGATATTCATAAATATATAATTTTATTATGTTCGTCTCTAAAAAGTATAATTTTGAAAATAGGTCATTTATTTTTTTTCAAAAAGCGTAATAAATTTATGCATTTATGAATATCAAATCAATTTGATTTTTTTCACAGAGAATATACACATAAGATTTTATAAAATGAACGGTATAGTGTCAAATGGGACACATGATGGACTCCAGTAGCATTGGAGAGGATTTTCTCCCTTACATTTTTTGAACTATTTTTCAAAATCATATCGATGTTGGTGAAACTTTGCACGAACCAAAATGAACTTGTCCTCTGAAAACAAAAACAATATATATATATATATATATTTATATATATTGTGCCTAACTACACTTGCAATCAATTTATGAGACATATAATAAAAATCACTTGATTTTGTTAGGTAAAGAAAAGCAGGGTACTTTAGGTTGCTTTCATGTCATCTAGTATGCATGAATGTGTGTGTGTGTGTGTGTGTGTGTGTGTGTGTGTGTGTGAAGGTTATGCTTTTAATCTGTTATTTGATTGCATCACACTTCCACTTGTAGGGTACCCATACCCACATCATAAATGGATTGTGATTGGAAAAATCTTAGCGTAGGACAAGTGTGTTCACTCGCTCTTTCTACCTTTTATTTTGTGCCCATGTTCTCTTTTATTCCATTGGTATGTGATGAGACTATACTTGTAACAAAAGTGAACCAGGTGACCTTATATTATCCACCTTTTCATGCTCATACTATACTTGATGTACACTTTGAACAGGTCACTTGCTTCCATTGGCTTTCATTTTGATTTTAGCATCTACTTAAGTAATTTATTTGAAAGGCACACAGTGATATAATAATTAGTTGTTGTTAAGTAGATGGCAATTTAAAGTGATTTGTATTAATTGTCGAAACAATTTTGAGTTCGGTTAAAACAGTGATCAATAGTTCAATTAATTGAATTCCGTTTGAGGACGAATAAGCTTACTTGCATTCTTGCTTGGGTTGATTACAAAGATTTCTCCATAGTCAAAGTCTAGGAAGGTACGAGTCCGGCTGACTTTGGATTCCAGTATGAAAGTCTACAGCAGTTGATCCAAACTTAGAGTCAGGGGGGGAGGGGGGGCGGCTTTCAAACTGTGAGGAACTAAGATTATTATTCCTTTGCATAAGGACTCGTCTTATTGTTTTGAGGATTGTTGTTCCTTGTACAAATTTGAGTTGTGAAAACTGCCTCTTCAGAAATTAGGGTAAAATTGCATTCATTTTGCTATTTCTAGACTACATTTAACATGAGTCTTGTGCACTAAGTCGCATTTTTTTATATTAAGGATATATAGATTGAGCAATATTATATATTACCTTTTTTCCCCCCGTTTTATATTGCTGGGGCACATGAAAAATATTACTCACCTTCATTATTTCCTTAGTGATTATTTCTAAATAAGGAACCAATTACAAGAATCTATGTAGATGATCATACAAAACAATGATACAAAATTGGTGATTTGTACCATTTGTGATATAGATCTTAGTGTACATAGATCCACACAATAAACACTATGATAGGTCCCTCCATAATGGTGAATCATATTTTTCCTTGGACATAATCATGTATTAAGAATCATTTTCTTTTGATATTTGCAAGTCGATGCATAAACATTGCATTTGATTTGAGACAAACTAGTGCCCCATAAACATTGCATGTGAGAGAATTGTGCTCGGGTCACTACTTTCACTTGCATCAAAAGCACATCTCACTTGTCCATTTGATTTACAATGAATTTTCTTATTTATCTACAATTTTCCCAAAATATTGCATATTGGCAATTGAAGGAAATTTTTTCATACCCTTCTATTTAACATTAACTGCTGCACTTATCTACAATTTTCCCAAAATATTCATCGCATATTGGCAATTGAAGGAAATTTTTTCATACCCTTCTATTTAACATTAACTGCTGCACTATATGTGCAGGTAGGAAACGAGCTTGGAGCTGGGAAGCCATACAAGGCTAAGCTGGCCGCAATGGTGGCATTGAGCTGTGCATTGGTGATCGGTATCATCAATGTTGTATGGACAGTGATCTTCAGGGAAAGGTGGGGTGGCCTATTCACAAACGATGAGCCAGTCAAAGCCTTAGTTGCCTTGGTCATGCCAATCATGGGCCTCTGTGAGCTCGGCAACTGTCCTCAAACAACAGGCTGTGGTATCCTACGTGGCACTGCCAGGCCTGCCGTGGGTGCCCGCATCAACCTCATCTCATTTTACTTTGTGGGCACTCCTGTGGCTGTTGGCTTAGCCTTTTTCCTCAGGGTTGGCTTTAGTGGTCTCTGGATAGGGCTCTTATCAGCCCAAGTCGCATGTGCCGTGTCTATTCTCTATGTTGTGTTGATGCGGACGGACTGGGAAGGTGAGGCTATGAAGGCTAAGAAATTTACTAGCAATGGCTTGGAGATGAGCAATGCTACTACTTGCAATGTGTTGGTGAGAGATAAGGTTGAAAATAATGGAGAGAGAAAAGGGTTTTTAGTTGATAACATGGATGATGTTTGGTAGAGTGAGAATTATACAACTTGGATGATGTTTGAAAACAGAATCGGGTATATAACACTAACAAGAGCAGGCTGTGTTTGATTGGTAAGATTTACTTTTTGCAAGTGTATTGTGTTTAATTTTATCATCAAATTTTGGGCATGTAGAATTATTGAGTACGGAGTTGGCAGGTGGGGATATGCTGATTTGTTTGTTAAGTTTAGTTGCTTTTTGAGAGCAACTCTGATGCCTTAGTTGAGGCTTTGTGATAAAAGCTAGGAACTTCAAAGTTATGTTGTTCATATTCACTCTTGTATAATAGGTTTGTAATAGGGTTCAGACTTAAAATAAATATGACCGAAGTAAATTTCTGAATAAAAATTTTGGGTATCCAACATTGCTTCGTGGTTCTTGAGAGGCGTGGGGTAGTGAATGAGCTGTTTTTGTTGAAAAAGCATACTGTCCCAGACTTTGAGACTAGGAAAACAACTAAGAAATGTAGTGTGGTTGGGATTAATTTGGCATATTGTGGGCAGCATCATGTTTTTGGGTAAAATTAAGAGATAGTGCAAGTGTAAATGAGCTGTTTTTGTTTAAAAACTCTGTTGTCCCAGACTTTGAGACTTATAATTAGAGTGAATGTGAGTCATATATCATGTTCCTTGTTAATGTACACTAACCTAACCCACTAACCTAACCCACTACATCCACCCCACTAAACCTTAACACACTTACCATCTCCACTACCACCCACCACCTCCACTACCATCCACTACCACCACTCACTACTCCCAAAACCTCTCTATATATAGGACTTGTAATATACAGATACATATAACAACACATCAATCTTGTAACAACAAATCAATCAATAATACATGTGTTTTATCATGGTATCAGAGCCATAAGATTTAGGCCCATATTTTGTTTTCTCACCGGCGGGCAGCCGGCCGGCAACCTTGCCTTCGCTGCCCGCTGGAATTTGTTTACACATACCTTCAGTTTCCTTCCAACTCATCAACAAAAATCACCACCGCCTACCACGGCTTCGCCGCCTCTCTCGCTCCACACCACTCGAACCCCTGAGTTTCTTGGTCTCGACACCCAGATGGGTTTATGGGATGGTCCTCACACGGCGACCACAGCCGGAGGAGCCAATGTGGCTTTGGATGTACTTCAAATGCCTCAGGTCACATGTTCGAAGATTGGTAGAGAGAACAAAGGAAGGAAAGAGAACTCTTTGTCTCTCTCTCTACTCTGACTGAGAAGGATGCAGGCCATTACGGGGCACCAATCTTTGAAGCCCTCACCTGCGATTTCTTATCTCAAATCCATCTACCCTCTCTCTCATCATTACTATGGTGCTGATCATCCGCGGGACACCCACACACCGAAACAAGAGAGGGAAATGATCAAATCCAACTTCCAGAAAAATCAACAATGGAAAAGGGGCGGAGAAGGAGGGTGCCTTCCCAGGAAAGTGGGACTCATTACATGAGCTTTTTTCGCAGCTTTTACAGACAATATGAAGAACATGTGCTTGAGCAGTGCCTTCTCTCTCTCCATAGACACACGCACACAGAACTCACACACACCCACGAGATTTCTGATGCCAACATTTTTTTTTTAATCATAACCCCCCCTTCAGCGTATACTGATTGGCCTCCACATCCGACTGCACAGCCATTTTTTGCTCCACCGACTGCATCGGAAAGTTCAACGGAGCAAACCCAGTGGTGTTTGGTTGAGGTTCACGGGACACCGCACCTGCTATCTCTCTTGTGGACTCGTTGAGGTCGGGAAAGAGAGTAAGTAGACCACGGGACGACGAAGCCATTTTCTCTCGCAACAGAGTGTTACAGACTCTCTCTCTCAGCACAACAGTGTTACAGCCTCTCTCTCTCAGCACAACGCAGACTTCTTCAGAGGTTTCTCTCAGTTTCTTGTCTGAGCCTCTGCCTCGGCCTCAGCTCCGTCTTGGTTAAATAGCCGAGGCAGCCACGCGCATCGCGCGCCTCTTCTCGCCGACAAACTGGCACGCCTTTTCATGGCACGCCTTTTGATGCATTCAGGCACGCCTTTTGATGACACGCCTTTTGAGGGTGCGGGCACACCTTTTGAGGGCACGACTTTTGAGGGCTCGATATCTACATCCATGTATATTTTTTGGCAGTATCATGTATAAGTCGCTCATGGCGCACTCCCTAAGTCGCCTCCTCGGTGCACCACCACAGCTGCTACAACGGTCCGACATGACCCCATAAACTGTCCCGACATTGATTCCGGTCAGCTGCTACAACGGTCCGACATGACCACGTAAACTGTCTTCTCCAACGGTCTGACACGACCACACAGTGTCTGCTACAACGGTCCGACATGACCCCGTAAACTGTCTTCTACAACGGTCCGACATGACCCCGTAAACTGTCCTGCTACAACGGTCCGACACGACCATACAGTGTCTCCTATCCCATTTTTAATTTTATTTGTCAGCTTATCTTTCTGTTTTGTTACTCTCTCCAAACTCAAGTTGGTTTGTGTCTAACCTCCTTGAGTTTGAGGGGGGCTGTTAACATATAATATACCTTATACTTTCATAGCTGTACATGTGCATTAGGAGCTGTAATGTATATATTGTTAATGTACACTAAACCTAACCCACTAACCTAACCCACTACATCCACCCCACTAAACCTAACACACTTACCATCTCCACTACCACCCACCACCTCCACTACCATCCACTACCACCACTCACTACTCCTAAAACCTCTCTATATATAGGACTTGTAATATACAGATACATATAACAACACATCAATCTTGTAACAACAAATCAATCAATAATACATGTGTTTTATCATTCCTAATTCATAGAATTACTGGTTTTTGTTGGGGGTTGAGTGTCTTGACCCATTACAATTGTTGATATTGTCATTACATGTGTACATATTTTAAGGACAGGCACAGCCTTGCTAAAGGATATTGTAGCATTGAAATTGAAGTTGAAGCTCTACTTGTTATTCAGCTTATCATGGAAACAAACAATTGCATGCATCATTTCAGCAATTTAATTTGGGACTGCAGATTCCAGATGAGTCAGCTTGGGGTTCAAACAATTAAGTATGTGTACGGCGTGGTAAATGGTTGCGCGGACGTATTAGCAAATCAAGCATCTCATATAAGTGATAATTTGCATATTTTTTAGCCTACTCTTGTTTGCATGGAAAGTCATTTGTATGATGCATGGAGGATTAGTTATCCCAAAACTTGTATTTTCAGTTTTAATAAGTTCCAGTTTATTCCCCCCCCCCCCTCCCCCCAAAAAAAAATAAAAAAAAAAATAAAAAAAAAAAATGAAAAAGCAAACAGGTGTTGGTGTTTGCCAAATATCTTTCTCTCATTAGTTTGGATGCTGCAATTGCCAGTGCAAGGTTTGTCTTTTTATGAGAATAAGGTATAGTTGTTACACACACTTATTTAATTGGCGGCAGTATAGGAATTACTTAAAATAATTAAAAAGTTAAAAATTATTATTATAAAGTCAATATTTTTACTTTTATTTTTTTTATATATCTTTTTATAAAAATTTAAAAAGTCAATTAAAATAATTAGTTCATGTAGAAAAAATAAGAAATAATAATTAGTGGGAATAAATGAATTCGAGTATACCTTCTACGCTTAAACTGAATCCATAGATCGTGTGGATGAATTACGTGTTTCCATTGATATCTTTAAATAATTCCCAGCAATGGAGTAGAATTACTAGGGAACTATCCACACTATTCATAGTACAAAAGCATGATTGTTCTCCTATGGCAGAGAACTAGAGAGAGACTCTTTTTAGAAATATTATTCTGTTAAAACCCATATCACCATAATACGTAATATGTATAGATGCAAGAGATGTAACCATCCACAACTCTATCTCCTTGGGAGATGAGATTGTGGGCTATTCACTCTTATCTTTAGGATAAGACGGTTTGAAATTCAAATTGATAAGGTCACTATATAGGTCATGGGTCATGCCACCATGGGCGCCCAAATCCAAGTTCGAAACCCAACCCAATTTCCAATATTTTCCATTCGCACATGGGTTGGCATGACAGTGCTCTATCTCTATTTCAATCTCAATCTACCTAAACCTTGAACTACCTTATACTTGCCAATTGATTGTGCAACCGCTGAAAACACTTGCATGTTGGAGCTCTACACTAGAAACTCAAAAGAGCCAGCATAGATACATGAACCCAAAGATAAAAATAGTGTCTCATATATCCCAAACCAAGACATCTCTAATCTCTTATAGAGCATGCTCGACCCTCTCATATCATGCAATATATTCACACTCAATCCGCGTCTCATACAAAGCGATGTGGGTTGCCGGCAGTGAATATACAACAGAGGTGTAATACTAGATGATCTTCCCTTCGCCCTCATGCCATTTAGTTTAGGATTGGCCACTTTCCCAGTGATGTCTCTTAAGGGCGAATCATACATGACTGTAGGCAACATACCAAAGTAGCAGAACATCAACCCCTCACCTTATGACATAGTCAAAGGTCACAAAAGGATATAAAAGTATATCAATAATGACACGGTGAGAAAGCAGGGCTCCATTCTCTCATTTCATTACTCAGTCTCCAAGCATATGTAGTATGAATACATGTTACGGTGGAGTAACTCTTCCAAAGAGTGATGTCATACTCGATACACCGTATAGATCTTAGTCTAGTCACTCTTTAGCGCAAAAGTCGTTTTTTAGCGCCTAACCCGAATTCTTTATTTGCTCGCCTTCTAGGCGCCAAATGAGATCTCGCATCCGGCTAATCATAACAGGCAGAACATGGAAAGCGGGTACTAACATCCATGTTTGGTCTTTAACACGACCTTATCTTGGCTACAACTAAGGCGGCATAAATAATGGATAAAGCACTAGTCTCATCATTACTCGCTCCCAAGTGCCAAGGGCGATTGCTCGTGTGAGTGAGCCAATCTTGCCTGCTGACATCGTCATCTGCTACATAATATCATCAATATCCCATAAACTCACAAAAATAAGCGATCGATTGAAAAACACAATCACAGTTTGTGCCCTATCAGCACCTTTTGTGATAAACATATACAACGGAATCCACTATGTGCGCCTCATATGAAGTGATTCAAGATCATCATCTCATGTGCAACTACCTCTCCAAAGACATTCTAGTGACTAATTTGCATTCATTCAAGATGCACCCAACCAGCGCATTGAATCTTACAAGGGGCAAATTTATACACTACTATTAGAGCATCCTATCCACAGTCTAATAAGCAAGGTCAAGGTCTAAACTACTCAGTTGACCATCTACAAAAGATAACACTCATCATGCCAAACATAT